AAGCAAGCAGCTACAGCCTCACACTAACCCAGATAAAGTAGGAAGGAAAAGAGAGGACCTTGTTCCAGGCAAGAGTAAAGGTCCATGGTGCCTTACTATGGGATGCAGAAACCTGGGGGACTTAGGCCCCTGAGGGACATGGGTGTGTTCCACCAACAGATCCCAGGGCGCTGAGGAGCAGATGGGTCCCACTGCATCTCAAGTTTGGGAATTGAGGTGGCCGGTGATTGTAGTTTTATCTATCATGGCCGTACATTCCTGGGTACTCACATGTTAACAATCCACTAATCCTTCCTGATTATAAGGCTTAGCGCCAATTCTACTTTAATATTTAAACATAACACCTTTGCTTAATCAAAATTTCCCACAACAATCAAAAGGAATCAGTTTGCTAGATCCGGAGACATAGAAGCATGGAACAGACTGACGAATTTCAGAGGAAAGGTGAGGGTTGGGAGTGGGTGCAGAGTGATTAACTGGGCATTATGTTAAGTGAAATAAGAGGAGTACCATGCAATTTCACTTATATGTGGAATCTATAGAATAAAATAAACAAACAAAATAAAAAGACTCATACAAACAGAGAGCAGACTGCTGAATGCCAGAGGGGAAAAAGCTCGGGGGGGCTTGGTGAAAACAGTGAAGGAATTAGACATATTAATTGTTAGTTACAAAACACATGGATGTAAAATAAAGCACAGGAAATACAGCCAACAATATTGTAATAACTATAGGTGGTGCCAGGTGGGTACTTGAAATATTGGGAACACTGTAAAGTAAATGATTGTCTGCTATGCTGTACATCTGAAGCTAATACAAAATAATGTTGAATGCAAACTATAGTTTAAAAATAAAACTTTAAAAAAAAAAAAGGCAAATGAATCTGTGAAGTCAAATACTCACCACTGGAGAGAACATATTTAAAACACTTTATAGTGTACACCATCTCTCTTCCTTGCTTTTGAAACCCCACACCATTTTACCTGGCCTTTCTTACAGCATTCTAGCTTTTCCAGGATATATTACATCCCAACTTTATAGACTTATTTATGTGTGTGGACCACCTGCCTTCACGACTGTTAAGTTTCCTGACAGCAAAATCCACATCTAGGATACCTACTTTTCACCCACAGCATAGAAAAGGCATACAAAGTAACAAAATAGTCATCATCAGTCGAATAAGCTCAGAAAATGTTCACAAGTGTTTTAATATTCAAACGTCCCTGAGAGATAAAATATGACTTCAAGGGGCTGAATTAAAGACATTTTAAAATGCCATATGTTTTAAAATGTGAAGTATACAATACATGGGTTTTTTTCAATCCTACATTCAATGTGAAAGGGATTTAGAAGAGAGAACATAATAAGGAAACTAAACCAGGATGGAGATTAGCAGTCAGTGATGATAAATTGCTTCCCTGCCCCAAACACAAAAAATAATTATGAAGCTGAAGAAAATGTTTAGAAAAAAACTCTACTCGGATATGAAAATATGAAAAGTTTAAAGCTTTTTCTAAAAAAAATAAAATAAAATAAAAACTTACTTTTGAGTGTTGTATACTGATATGGTTGCAGTTAATCCACCATAATCTTTAGAACCAAACTCATTACACAGGGGCTTTACACAGTATAGTAATCTCAATCAACTCCCCAACCTACGTGATCCTACAGGAAGAAGAAACTCAAGAGAAGTCACCAGTAATAAAAACTATTCCTTCTCAATTGTCTAAATATTTCTATTCCTTCTCAATTGTCTAAATGATGGCTAACAGCAACCACTACACCAAAATCAACAATTACGCAAACCTCTTGTTGGAGGATATATCCTTTGCTTATATTGTTTAAAGAAGAAACATGAAATAAAAGACAGCTAATACAGACCATAAGTAGGACAAGAAAAACATGTCATAAACACAATGGCAAATTAGTGAGGTCTGAAATTCGTAAGTGTTATGAATGGAAGTGAGTCCTTCAAAAGAGATATGTTGATGTTCTAGTGCTGCAAGCCTCACAATGTGACCTTATGTGGAAATAGGTCTTTTCAGAGGTAATCAAGGTAAAATGAGGTCATGTGATGTGATTTGAGTCCTCATAAAAAGGGGGAATTTGGATGCAGAGACAGACGCACTCAGGGAGCACACCATGTGAACATGGAGGCAGACATCAGGGTGCTGCACCTACAAGCCAGCGATGCCAATGACTGCCAGCACACCGCACAGGCTAGAGAGAGGCAGGGAACAGTCTCCCTGACAGAACCAACCCTCAGAAAAAAGCCCTCTGCCAACGCCTTGTTCTTAGACTTTGGCCCCCAGAATTCTAACAGGATAAAGTTCTTGTATAAGCCACCCATGAGGTTCAAGGCAGATCCAAACGTGACAGATGTAAATCAACCTACGGAAAATGCTCTCAAACCAACAACCAGTGAGATCTCTACAAATGCCAGGCAGCTTTGGTGCAAGATACTAACAGCTGCTCTCAGAGAAGATGCTAAAGACAATGTTTAAAGGGGTTGGCAGGGCTGCAGACATTTATGAGAGAGTGGTCAGGAATGCTGCAACAGGAATTCCAACAGGCAGCTGTCTCCTCAAACTATGCAGCACTTCAGGGGACACACCAGCCAAAGGCAGCTCTCATGCTTTACTGGATGGCACATAATGATGGTCCGTTGGCCTGACCTTGCCACCTTAAAGCAAGCACAGGCAGCCTGTCACGTCTTAAAGAAGGCGAGTGGTCAATGGCTTTGATCTCCAGCTAGAGGAAATTAAATGCCGCACATGTGACCAGCAGGCTTGAAACAGCTTGAGAAATGCTGACAAGATAGCATTTAGACCTGCTGGAGTGAGAAGTATTAACTGTCCAGAGCCATCCTTCTCAAAGACGGCAGGTACTTAAAAGGCAGTCTTCCTTGTATTCGGGCATAATAAATGGGGGGTTTCTCAACCATCCCCAAGACTGTGACATCCATTTTAAAGTTAAGCATTTAGTAGAGTGATTAACGTACATTTGGAAATCAGCCGAGCACATCTTTTGTGGGAGGGCACTTCAAAGTAATCGGTTTGTTTCCTTAATAATGAAATTGTATATTTGCTTCTCTCTGATTCTGATTAAACCAAGTCAGAGCATATGTGAGAGCCATCTGGAATATTCAACAAGGATCGACACTTTCCAAGGAAGGCCTTACACTGTGGATGCGGTACAGTGTCATGGTTAGGAAAATAATGGCTTCACACCCGATAGATCTAAGCCAAAACAAGTACTGGTATTGCCACTAGCCACCTGTATGGACCTGGGACAAGTGGCTGAAACTCTCTCAGCACAGTTTCCTGGTCAAATGGAGATGATAGAAACAGGACCTTATCACATAGGGAATTGTGAGGGGTAAACAAGACAATGGACATACCAGTTATATTGAGCATAACTGCTTAACCCAGTGTGGTTATCTTCGTGCTATTAACATTAAATGTACAAGTACTTTTTATACGGTAGGGTTCAAACTATTTTTCTTTAGGAAAAAATATTTAAACTCTGGGACACAAACCTACTGAAATTAGCTCAACCATTTAGACCAGGAGTGAGGAACGTCTGACCCTCAAGCTTTAGAAGGCCTGTGAAGTCATTGGGCCTGCTGCCAGGGCATTAGGGGTGAGTTAATTAAATGTTTGACCAAATATAGCGGGCTAATTTTTAAGGTGATAATTCTGTATGGACCGCAAATGATGTATAAATATCCAAATGGCTCTTGGCAGAAAAAAGGTTCCTCACCCCTCAATTAGACCATTACCGTAGCATTTTGCAATGCTGAAGCAACACAGTGAAGTCATGAACAGCCATCTAAATTTTGTTTTCTTTTGCATTCCCCATGTTTATTTTTCCTTAACATAAAAAAAAACAACCTTTGTTTTTTCAAATATCTAAGATCTCAAAATCTATGCCAGCATTTTTTTTACTTTCAGCATTTCTGCACTTCCTTTCTTACATGAATCTTTATCAGGAATATCCCTTCACCTTCTTAACTCAAAAAATCATGAACAAAGACTCATGAATAAGAACACTTTCCATAAAAGCCAGAAACCACTCAAGTCAGCATAATTTCCAATTACATGTTTAGAATGATACTTCAGAGAATTTTCTTTGCTATCTTTTTAATTATTTAGCTTAAAATTCCTAATTTTTTATAATGACTTAAAAATAGACAAAAACAGGAATAATTTAGAAAATTATTTTTCAACATCTTTTAGTAACGTGATTAAGATAAAACAAGGCTCGTATCTCCTGCAGTTATTTCAGAAATTGTATCAAGTTTTCTCCGAGCCACAGGCTTCCAATACGGTAACTCTGTGCTCCTACCAGAGACATGCACGGGTGATCCTGCTGAGGATCCAAATCTGTGCCCTCACCCCAGCATAGCTTGGGGGAGAGGACAAATTGGGGAACAGTGGTTTCCTTTGTGAAAATATATATGGCTTAATGTCAAAGAAGATAGGTGTGGGGGTAGGAGGGGAGGGAGAAAGAGTATGCAGTGTTTTTAAGTAATTTCTGAAAGATGGGGTAAAAGCTCATTTTAAAAGATGTAAGGAATGGCCAATACATTTGGCTTTGTCAAACCAGTACTCTTACTCTTAAGCAAATGCTAAACCTCCATGAGAAATTAATTATATGATTCACCTGGAAATGAATTCTCATCCCCGGGTTCCAACTCCAATGAGGGAGAGAAAAAAAAAAAAAAAAAAAAAAAAAAAAATATATATATATATATATATATATATATATATATGGGGGGGGGGGAGGACAGAAAAGATAAATTGAACACGTCTGCAAAACTGTTAGCAGGGAATAACCAATTCTACTGATTTTTACACTTATTAAAAGAACGGGAAAAGAAATTTCTGAGGGGAGAATTTATTATCTGTTAAGTGAAAATTATTTAACTACACTGTGACTCAGTATTAAAAGCGCAGGTAGAGTTGACATGTGAAATATTCAGAAACAGATGTACTTACTTGCTTTTCCCTTTGTATACTGTAGCATAAGATCCTTCCCCTAGTTTTTCCAGTTTTTCGTATGAGTCAGCTTTTCCAAATTTGGGACTTGTAGGCTGAAAATGGAGCAGAGGGGAAACAATATCAAACTAATTAACAATAAATAACCCAGTTCTGCTAAAAATATACAGATCCTCTGTCACTTTTTAAATAATGTTTTTCTAATGCTTATTTTTAAAAGCAATGCTTATTTAAAAAAAAAAAAAAAACACAACAGCAACAACATAGATATTCAAGGTATGAAACTCCAAATATACAAATGAACAGGACAGAGTTTAGATTAACCCATAATCTAACCACCCAGAGAAAATCTTTTTTTTTTTTTTAACTGCCCTTAACCGGGAATCTAACCCACTACCTTTCAGTTCACAGTTCAATGCTCTATCTATCTGCTGAGCCAAACCAGCTAGGGAAAGATTTGATATCTCTTCTTTCAATGCTATCTGCATACCAAAGATTATTGTTTCACATAAATGGGATTACACTATCTTGTAACCTGCTTTTTTCCCACTATTATGACCATTTTCTATGTCATTATATAATCTTCTAAGTTAGGGGCTGGCAAATCGCACCCACCACATATTTTCATATATCTCATAAGCTTAGAAAGGTTTTTACACTTTTTAACAGGGGAGGGTCAAAAGAAAAAGAAAAAGAAAATGTTATAGCATGTGAATATTAAAAATAAAATTTTAGTGTCCATAAAGTTTATTGGAACACAGTCACCCACTCATTTATATCTTGTACTATGACTTTCAAGCTACAACAGAGTTGTATGATAGTTACAACCAAAATCATAAGGCCAACAAAGCCGAAAGAGTGACGAGTTGAACCCCGTGGTAAATCATAGCTGTACAAGATTCAGGCATATAAAGGTATTCCTGCAATACCCATCGGGGACAATGCAGACAGGTAATCAAATACACCCTTCAGATTCACTAATTAATACAAAAGGAATTCTCTTATAGCTACAGAAACCAATCCTTTAGGTTTAGCTGCAACAAAATAGCTCTTCCATAAGATAATAAATGGTTTACCCCATCCTGAGCTCTCATCACTTCTGTGCACAACTCCTACCCCAACCTCACCAGAGAGCACTGTCCTCCAAGGAAGCAAATTGCCTGTTATTTTAATGGCACTATAAAAAACGGGCAATACCAGAATATATTAGAAAATGATAACTTTATGAGAATTAAAGGGATTCTCTGATCATAGCTATAAGTACATATATAATAGGTAAAAAGTTGTTAATGATTGTGGTACTTTGTAAGGAACCAACTGTAAAAGCTTAGAGAAATAAGTTCTTGCAAAAAGTTTACGGAACACTATTCTTGAGCATATGCTCTCGGAACACTTATGAAACAACACAGCATCCTGACGATGAATATGACTCCTACCATTTATAAGGATTCTGTGGCACATTGAGCACATGCCTCTTACATCCTTGCCATCTAAAATGACATGAGTGATTGAAAAGATATGTTTCAAAAATAATAAAACAGAAACAGGAATGGAAAATAAAACCAAAAAAAAAAAAAATAGCAATATCTAAGCAAAAATTTGAGGAATTCTGAAAGACAGAAGTAATCAGGATCAAGACTTTGGAGAAAATATTGTGGGAACTTTAAGATCCAACATGTAAGACCATTACAAATGAAAGACGCAAGAGTCTCTAAGTAAATATGAAACTAATCAACACAGCTGAGCACGAAGTGTCCTCCCAAGCAAGTTGCAGGGGCATGTGCACAGAGGATTCAGCTGAGATTGTGGTACCCAGGCTAGAGGGGATGGAAGTAGCCAATACTTAGAAAAAACATGACATGCCCACATCCCCAGCCATGCCTGCCTCTGTCATACAACTGCAAGCGACAATTTACAGAAAACAGAATATGCTGACAGAAATTCTCACACACAACAATGAGTATACAGCCAAATATCACAAATCATTTCAGGGATATCAATAACAGACGCATAAAATTTAATGAGCAGTTCAACTAAAACCCTGGTAAAAGAGTTGATATTGCAAAGCTAAAAATAACTTTGAATAAAAATGACAGCATCTCAGAGAGACTAGAGATTGAATATTTAATTAATGAAATAAAACATTTAATAGACAATGAATAAAAGAATGGACATAGGTGAAAACTTACTAAATTCAATGTCTGAATAGAATTTTCCCAGATAACTTTGGGGACAGGTTGCATCTAAACGGAAAAATTACCCAACAAGCATAATATTTTTATAGACAACACTGGCTGAAAAAAAAAAAAAGACAATTCAGCAATATTTTCAAAATGAAAAGAGAAATGATTCTGAATCACAAACACTATACTCAAGATAGTTCCTCAAATGGGATGAAAAAGCTGCAATCTTACTCCTTAAAAAAAAAAAAAAAAAAAAAAAAAAAGTCTAGATAAAATAAAATGGCCGATGCCCAAGGGGTGGAGGAAGGGGAGGGGATAACTGAATAAAGAAGGTGAAGGGAAGAGCTAAAGAACATATATGCACACCTCATGGACACAGACAATAGTTTGGTGAAAGCCAAGGAAAGGGGTGAAGTGAGAGAAAGGGGTGAACAGGGGGACATCTACTCTAGGGAACAACCACAATAAGGTCAACATTAAAAATTTTTAATAAAAAATATTGATATAAAATACCATGCTATCTCAATATAAGATGAAGCTGGAGTGATGGGGGAATTGCAGGAAGGCAAGAAACAGTAGAATAGGATGAATAAAGCATGTTGAGATTCACTGGATTAACTACTGATACTGATTAACTGCAACTGTTTAACATTTAGATGTTTCTAAACTCTTTAAAAGTTAATCCCGAGAGCAATATAAATAAGATATACAAATTCCAAACCAATTTTGGGGAAAGGGAATAAAAGAAACAATTGCAAGGAAACAGAGAGAAGGGGGTAAAAGTAAGAGGCTAGAGGAGGTGGGTACCTCAACAGGAAAGAATGTTAAGTGAAAAATCATAAAATAAGAAGTCAAGTCCAAACATAGCAAAAATAAATATTTTTGCAAAATCATGTACTATAGCAATATTGATGGAAGACAGCCTATGCAAAACAAATGGATTAAATTACTGTATCTCATTAAAATCAACACTAATATCCACCAAGAAATTTAATCATCATAAACTACTTTGAGCCAAATAATGTAGCTTTGAAATGAATGAAACAGTTCTGGCCAGAGCTTCTCATTAGAGTGCTGACCAATGAACGGAAGGGTCACAGGTTTGATTTTCAATCAAGGGCACATACCTGGGTTGCTAATTCACTCCCTACACCATGGTCAGGGCACATTCTAGAGCAACCAATCAATGTGTCTCTCTCACATCTCTCCTCCCTCTCCTCCCTTCCCCCTCCCCCCTTTTCCTTCTCTCCTCCCTCTTTTTCTCTCCCTCTCCCTCTCCCTCCATCCTTTCCACCTTCTCTGAAAAGCAATGGGGGGAAAATCCTCTAGTGAGGATTAACCAAAAAGTGGAATGTATGAAACAACTGCTAATAGCAATAAAATGAGAAATTAACAAACCCACGATATAATGGGAGACATACATCGCTCAAACATCAACAAAGCAAGCAGACAACTAATAAGTAAGGGATATGTGGGCTTGCATATTAGAATTAGCATTTGAATCTAATACACATTTTAATATTTTTTTTCAAGAACACATTTAACACCCACAAAAGATGAGCACAGATTAGCCACAAAGAAAATCTCAATATTCGAAATCACAAAAACATTTAGTTACTTTTTGTGAACACAAATGCAATAAATTAGAAATAAAGAATAAAAGGGAAACTAAATAGTTTAGCCATGAAGGTGAAAAAGAAAATCAAAATGGAAAACACGTAAATATGTGGCGGTGAGGACATGACATTTTAAGACCCATGGGATGCAGCCAAATCAATACATAGATTAAAATGTAAATATATGTATACATGTGCATGGGAAGAGAAGAAAGCTTGAAAGTAATATGAGTTAGACATTAAATCACAGCTGGAAAAGGAACAACATACATAGTAGGAAGGGATTAATAAAGATGATGGACCACCTATTCTTTTCTCCAAGAAACTTGTAAAGTATAAACCATGAATTGAGTTGAATCAAGTAAAAGTTAACGGAAAATTACATCCAAAATTACCTGACTAGTCCTGTGTGGGTTATGCTCTCATGCATTTTTCATCACCAGGAAACAGCTTGCGAGTGTCACACTTTACCATCACCCTTCTGGGCCCAAGTTTTAAACAGAAATTTTTAAACCTACATTAAGCTTCAGCATAAAATGACCTTCAATGGGGAAAATATTGTGTTCCCAGTTCCACTCTAAATTATTTAAAGTCAGACTGAAAAGCCTGTATATTTGCTTTTGTGCTCCTTTAAGAATAAATCTGATCTAAGTCAAAGTAAAAAAGCAGCAGCAGAAAATCTCCTCTTTGTTCATATTAGGAAATAAACTGCTAATGCATATTTAGAGCAAGTGCAAGACATAACCACACAAAATGTGTAAGAGAATATTTTATCTGCCAGGAAGACACAAATAATTTTCTAAATATTACTCACTCTTCATAAACTGCCTTATACCATAGAGTTGGTTTAATCATTTTGAGACATAGATAACACTACACTGATGACTTGAAAAAAATTGAATCGAGGCCATTAGAAAAACAAGGGGGATGTTTTTTTTTTAAACATACTCCATTCATCTACAAAAAAACAAAAATCGAGTAAGAGAAAATGCTAATGGCACAAAAAGTAGTCTATTTATCTAATTAAGTGGATTTGGATGCATTAACTGCCATGGTTAAAATATATTTCCCCAACTCTCATGGTCATACAATCAATGTTATTTCCCTGTGAAACCGACATGTAGATATTATGGAAATACACTGTAACCTACAGATCAATCATGCTAGTTCCACAGCACGAATTGCTACATATAATACCTGTTTGAAAGTTGTCCTACTTTACAAAAGAATGGCCTATGGAATAGGCCATGTCTATGAGATAGTCTGAGCCCTAAGAGTAAGAGTCTTACAAAGTCAGTGTCCTATTTTAACTATGCAAAAATGTACTGATCTGTAATGGCTATGTCAATAAATAAAGAATCCAAATGTTAAGTCTTTAAAGAGGCCAATAATAAAGCCCTTCCCATCAAAAGAGCAAAATTAAGAAGCATTCTGAAGGAGAGGTCCTCTTTTATTTAATAATTAAGTTCAAGCCTTTGGTTTTCCTTTTCTTCCCTTGCAACTTCATTAAATTATCACATTTAAATAAAAATGCCCCAACCAGCAGATTTGACTCTCTGATGTCAGGTGCATGCATGGATGGGAAACAGCTTTATGGGGCAATTATTCCCTGCTTATCACTTCCCTGCTTAGAGTGCAGGCTTGAGATAGCACTTTAGAGAACTGGAAATAAGAGGTCTAATCGGGAATTTCTAAAGGATGCTAACACTGCAAAGAGACATGGAATTTAATGAGATAATGTTAATACTTTTTTTTTAACAGAATAAAGGCACAGAGGACTGTCAATTGTCTGGACTAGTGGAGGGGAACATTGGCATGGGTAATAAAGAAGTGAAGATAATATTCCAGCTGAATGGTGTTTGAACCCTGACCTTGCTGTCTCTAGTTCATGGTTTGTGTGATCAAGAAAAACTAGCTAATATCAAATGTTTACTAAGTGCCAGCCTTCAGCTCATCCCTTTAAATAATTACCTATTAATCCCTGCAAGAGCTTAATTAAGGTTGGTATCCCCATTTGAACATGAAGAATTTGAAGACTGGAGGAAAAAAAGTAGCTCATCTAATATCCTCCAGCTAGTGGCAAAGCAAGAATTCAAACCAAGTTGACCAGAATCAAAAACAGATTTTCTTTACCACAACTACACTGGTGGAATCTACATGGAGATCTAACTCCCTCCCAAGAAGAAGAGATATTAAATTATGATTAAGTCTGTCATCTACTGAAACCCTATTCCTAAAAGCAGGGGTGGGTTTTTTAACTGAATTTATATTTGTATAACGCATGAGTATACCTGTGTTTATTGTAATGATACTGTGACATGACTATAATTCATAATGAATTAATTGAAATAGATTGTAACCTTTATACATAACCCCTTGATTAAGAATGTTGATGAGGAAAACTACAAGAATCACCACTCTATTACATCCTATCTAATAAAAGAGTAATATGCAAATTAACCATCACTCCAACACACAAGATAGCTGCCCCCAAGTGGTCAAAGATGGCTGTCCCCATGTGGACACAAGATGGCCACCACAAGATGTCCAGCAGGGGAGGACAGTTGGGAGGGACCAGGCCTGCAAGGGAGGGCAGTTGGGGATGATCAAACCTTCAAGGAATGGAAGTTAGGGGTGACCAGGCCAGCAGAGGAGGGATGTTGGAAGCAAACAGGCCTGTAGGGGAGGGCATTTGGGGGTGATCAGGCTGGCAGGCAGAAGTGGTTAGGGAGAAGAAGGCAGACAGGCGAGCAGTTGGGAGCCAGCAGTCCTGGATTGTGAAAGGGATGTCCAACTGCCCATTTAGGCCTGATCCGGTAGGGGTCCCAGGTTGCAGAGGGTGCAGATTGGGCTAAGGGACACCACACACACCCCCACAGAGGTCTGGGGCTCAAAAAGTCCAATATAAGCCAAGTCTATCCTATAGGACCAGGAAGCAAGGAAGCACTCAAAAAATACAGGGTTGAAGACATCTCAAAAGGACACAGAGCTGTCAATGGCCAAGGCAGAAACAATTTGAGCAACAAAAGAAATAGCACAGCATTAGGTTATAATTAGTATTGCAGATAAAAAAATGGGACTAGTTAAATTTAAATTTCATTTAAATAGTAAATAATTCTTAGTGTAAGTATGCCTGATAAGACTGCACTTACCGAGCTGGGGCTGGAGTGCCGCCTAACTTTAGGAGACTCTTTGCCGGTGGAGGAGGTCTTAAAGTTAATGCAAGCATTGTTCTCCGAGTGCACCCGCTTTACTTGATTAGTTGGTTTCTCAAATGGGTCAAAAGTGCTCTGTGTCCTCTGAACCCTGACTTTTTTATCCTCAGGAATTGTGTCCAGGGGTTTGATCACTGAGTCCATTCCCTGGCAGTTCCGTGTGGACATCTTTGTGACACATATCTAGGAAAAAAAATTAAAAAGAAATTAAACCCATAACTCTCTTCTGGGACTTCAATATCAAAAACATGCTTGAATTGACTTGGGATGGTGAACACACAATACAATATACAGATAATGTACTGTAGAACTATATACCTGAAAATGATATAATTTGATTAACTAATGTCACCCCAATAAATTCAATAAAGAAGAAAAATACATTTTTTAAAATTTTCTTTTCAGTCTAGAAGAAAGATAATCAACTAATTTTAACACAGCAGCATAGCTTTTTGCAGAAAAATATAATTTGGAAAAAAAAAATATATATATATATAGATCAGGTATTGCTGTCATACAATAGTTTTATCCATATGGATGACTGATTGATCTAGAACAAACTTAAAGTGTCTATAAGAATCTTAAAGGGAAACAAAATAACAAGAAAACACTACACCGGCTTAAATCACAATGTGAAAAATTCCTCATAATCACTCTGCTTAGTCTCAAGGCTGACAGTAGAATCTGACCCCTAAAACAGGAAACATAAGGTCTAGACTACAAGTGCACCAAGGTGTTCTTGATCTCTGTCCCCAGTTTTACTCTGACTACAAGTGGGATTATTCGTGAATCATTAAGAGTTGGATAGCCCAGCCAGTGTGGCTCAGTGGTTGAAATCAACCTACGAACCAGGAGATTCAAGGTTCAATTCCGAACACAGGATTGTGGGCTCATTCCCAGTTGGGGGGGTCCAGGAGGCAGCCAGTCAATGATTCTCTCTCATCATTGATGTTTCTATCCTTCTCCCTTTCTTTCTAAAATCAATAAAAATATGTTTTTTAAAAACAGACTTGCCTTAATTAAAAGAAAACAACAGCTGAGCCAAATCAGATGGTTATATTAACTCGTAGGTCATCATGGAAGCAGTTAACACAGGATACAGAAAAAGATCATTATGTGTTTCAAAAGTTTTATGCTTGAATATGTGTGTTTGAAATCTGTCCCCATCTTGACTTCATCCCCAAACTAGAATAAGGTATATTATAATCTTAATATGGTTAGAGATGTTGAAAATTTAAAAATTAACTTTTTTAAATACCAAAACTAATGGGTGAAATGGAATAATACTGTAAAAGAAAGTCATTGTCTAACACATTAAAAGATTTGGCTCAAATTACTCCACCAGACCCCTATTCCCTTCCCAATTTCTCCAACCTCTCTTTCTGCAAAGCCTCCCCCACTCTCATCTTATTTTGGCCTCTCTGACTTTTGTTCCTTGTTTCCTGCTTTATGTTCTAACTCTTTCATTCTCCCTATACTCCAGAGATTTTGTTGTTCTTACTCAATAACTTTATGGCCTCTAGTTTGTCTGTGAAGTTGGGTAGCTTTATTAACTCTCTCTAGAGAAAAGATAACTCTGAATTTGCTTTTAAAGTTTTTTTCTTCTTGTGAAGTTTGCACATCCCTATTTTACAAAACAGGAAAACAGAAAATAATTCAGATAAACCTATATTTGTTAAAGTAAAACTATAGTGTCTGAGTAAAATATATAGGATGATTTCATATGGGAATTAATGTATCCAAGTGTACGAGTAGATATCGAAAGATACAGATGTATGTGCAGTAAGATAAAGACATAAATATAGAACACAATGAAATATACAGAAAACACACACACACACCAAATTCTGTGTTATTCAGCATCAACTCTGTCCTAAGAGTATGTCTCAACTATTATGCATAAGTTTGATTCTAATTAAGTCAAATGATAAGGACATCATAAAATTTTTTATAGGAACAAATCAAGGATTTCACTCTCATCACTTTGATTCAGCATTGTATAAGTTCTAGACAATGCCACAAGGCAAGAAGAGGAAATAAAAAGCATTCACATTGGAAAGGAATAAAAAACAACTTTATTCACAGAAAACCACTAGAGTCTATGTAGAAAATTCAAAGAAATCTACCAAAAAAGAGGCCTCTAGAATTAATAAGTAAGTTTGTCAAGGTTGCAAGGTACAAAATCAACATGCACAAATCATTTGTATTTCTACATAGTAGCAACAATCAGAAATTTAAATTTAAAAATCAATTTATAACAGCTTTAAACAACATAAAATATTTTGTGATAAATTTGACAAAATACGTGCAAGGTCTACAAACACGTCTGAAAGCAGCAAAAATTAAAGGGTAGAAAACCAAGCACAGGAACCAATTCATGGACCTTTCCATTTCCTGTTACACTTTCAGAATGAAGCAAATCTCTGCATTTCACCCAGAAAAATATTGTTTCTTGCTTAATTTAAAGGAAGATTTATAGATGTTTATATAAAACAAATGAGATTATAGATGTGTATAGAATGATAATATAAAAAGATACAAATGGGGATTAAATTGATATACAAATAATGGGGAAATGATGAGCATGTTTGGACTCCAACTCTATCCTTAAAAGAAGGACCAGGAAGCATAAATCCCACACAAAAAAATCTCTTAATTTTTCCAAGAAAAATACAGTAGATTCTATTCAACTCTACATTCTATTTATTTTTTTTTAGGTCTTTGAACTATTTTAGTAAAAGAGGCTTTACTAGGTAGAATACTCTTTTTTTTTTTCTCTATATTTATAGGGAAATGTATGGGGAAATTTTTTGTAGGTACATGGGGGAAATTTTACTATGAAATATAAAGTTGTAGCATATGTACACCAACACAGCCACAGCACAAAATATTAGCAGAGGATAAGTGACAAATGTCACTAGGATTATGTTATGTGCCAGAGCAAATAGATTATCCTGGGTGGGCCTGATCTAATCAGGAAAACCCTCCAAAAGCAGTGGGTTTCATCCAGCTAGTCACAGAAAGGAGAGATGTGATCTGGCTAGCTTGTGAGAGAGCAAACACTGCATGGCACCATCTGCAGGGCAGCCTCCAAGCGCTGAGAGTGGTCAGTGGCTGACAAGCAGCAGGAAAATGGGGACTGTGGTAATACAACCACAAGAACACAAGTTCTGCCAACAACTAGGGAGCATGTAAGAAAACCCTGAGCCCCAGGTGTGATCCACAACCACACCCAATATCTTGAGTTCAGCCCAATAAGACCTAGGGCAGAGAAACCAGCTGATGCCATGCCTGCACTTCTAACCTACGGAAACTGAGAGCATGCCCTGGTAAGTCTGTGGTAATGTGTTACACAGCAATGGAAAACTAATACGCTCATTTTACCGAAACTGCTTGAAGCACGTTGCCATTTGAGCAGAATGTTCTTAGGAACACGTTGCAGATACCATTTTCTGAATTTGACCCACTGTATCGGATTCAGGCGAAAACAAGTGATGATTCTGTGGCCGATGTCAGTAGAGGCCTACAAATGGAGAGTGCTCTGCCTGGTGTAACTCCATCAGCATGACAGAGCCCAAGAGCAAGTCCTGCACATAACTAAGTGTATACATAGTTGTTGCTGGTCTCCACTTTGCCCAGGGTGTGTGTGAATAATACCAGTATCAGCACCGGCTTTGGGTATGCATCTTCTTCCAGGGAAGTAATCTATACTTGAGTTTTCCAAAGTGACTATTCTGGAAAAGTTTCAAGTTTCCAATCTCTGAGACAAACAACTTAAACATGACCTGGCCATCTCTGTTAACCACCAGCAGAATCCGGGCCCTTCTGAAAAACAGGAGGAAGTGGCCTTGTGTGTGACCTCAGGAGCTTCTGTGGTGATGACCATGTTTGGACTCCAACTCTATCCTTAAAAGAAGCACCAGGAAGCATAAACCCCACAAAAATATCTCTTAGTTTTACCTCACCCTGAAGACCCCAAAGAGGAAAGAGCAGGGTTTAGTCTAGAGAAGGACACAGGCAAGGTAAAAAGAATCGTACTCATTCGCCCAGAAAGCTGCCATTTCTGCCAGCTCATAGAATGAAATCACTGACCTGTGCTGGGTACATGAGGAGAAGAGTGAGCAGACTGGAGTCCTGGCAATGAACGAAGATTCTAGAAACCAGATTACGCATTGGCACTACTTCCTGGTGCTCAATCTTCCTTTGAATCCTTCTATCAACCTGTCAGCAAGCAAAACAAACCACTCCCCTCCCCAAATAGACTCTGTCTTCCTTCCCACAACAAAATGGTTATGGTCAGTGGTGCAGAAAGTCTTGATGACAGATAAAACTCTAAGGGAACCTGAGGGCAGAAGCATGGTATGTCCAGTTGGAAAAACTTAATGGGAACCCATAACCTCAAAAAAGAAATTTTTTTTCCAACCACCATATAGTACAGCCTTTTGATCCACTACTAACTTTCACTTATACTCCTAGTTCCCAGATTTGGGTCTATGTTCCAATTCTCCACTATGAAAAAGGAGGACTCCTGGGAAGGTGACCTGATTCCAGTTCACAGGGCAGAATATCCAGCTGTTACCAGAAAACTGGGATCCTTTCCAAAATACAAGGGATAATGCTAGAAGGACAAAGGAGTCTGCCTATCAAGGGGTTCTTACTGGCTGAGCTGTGATGATGTAGTTAAGCATCAAAAGGAAAATAAAATCACAGTTAAATGAAACCAGTTGAGTTACTGAAAAAACAAGAGCCTGTTAGGACTTCAAGAGAGAAAAGTTAATATAAAGGGCAAATGGCAATTGCAAAGGAAGGCTAAATACAATAAGATAAGGTTGGTTTTTAACTCACAGAACTGTGAGTAAGCCGAGGATAAAAAGTAGGAACTGTACTGAGAATAAGAATGACTGACCAGAGACTGTGGAGAAAGAGTCTAAGCAGTACAAATGTAGAAAGATCAGCAGCACAGGATGTCCCAATGATGACAGACCAGGTCAAATCTACACAATAGTAAGCTAAGGGACATATGATGACATCTAACCAATGTTTTACAAAGAATATGTGTCTCTCGCGGAGAGATACCAGACTGCAAAGAAAACTTACACGAAACCAATGTGGAAAGTGTTTCTTTGGAAATAAGTTAAATTTTAATAACTATGGGAAATTTAACCCTTAGAAAGAAAACTCAA